CGTCTTTCTAAATTTTAACGCGTCTTAGGGCCGTAGTGCGGTAGTGACACTTTTCCGGACATGGGTCCCTATACTCAAATGTTTTCTACTGTTGCACTGAATAACCCCTAGAAGTTTGATCCCATAGTTCTGAAACACCCTGTATATATAGTGTTTACTTTTTTTTTAAGAGAATAATAAATAAATTGTAGAGAATAGCTTTAAATTAAGTAGATCAAAATAATTAGAGTTTAGTAAAGAGTTTCACTTCGATTCTGTATAGAATTTCTCTTTAGATTTCATATTCCAAGCGTTACACTTCCAGTTAGAATCGATATGGAATTTCCATAAAAAATTCAAGATATCTTTGGAAAATTTACTTAATTTCTGAATAGATCCTAAACACTTTTCTATGCAAAATAATACGTAAGTGGCATCTTGATAAGACTGCATAAGCGAAGAAGAAAAACATGTTACGCATTGTCTCGATGAGAATAGATTAACATTATTAACTTACTTGTAGAACTCAAGTATACTCCATATATTGTTATATCCTATTTATCATCTTATACAATTGTATAGAAATGCGTTCCGTAACAATAAATCTTGTATTGATTATATCGCATAACACGTGCAGCACATGACGCGTTTATAGTTATTGTAAAATATAAATACGACAATTAATTACACAGTATCGATCAATATACGTTAAGATTTTCATTGATCAGATTATTCTAATCAATTGTAAAATACCTTTTTGTTTTCATGCTGGTTCTGCGCGCTTAGGAACTTATTGTTGATAAACTGAACAGTGCGGAGAACGCGAAAACGAGTTCACCGGGATTAACGATCAATATGACCGTACGGAGAGATTCGGTTCCGTATTCGTAAAAACGCGCGCATAATTGACTTTACAATCGATTCATCATGATCGAAATCGATTATGCGTCAACAGCCTTATGATCGTCGTTACAATGGCAGAGATGACCAGAGGCAATTATCACGCGCGGAATGTAGTACAGCCGACAAGAAAAGCTAACATGCATAAAGAGTAAAAGAGAGAGCGTGTGTGTACATACGTTATACGTGTGCAAACATAGATATGATTAGAAACCAAATTCATGCGCTATCGGCTGTATATTGTTATCCTCACTTCAACGATAAACGTACTTGCACGATCTCCCTGTCGTTAAAAGTCTGTTAAACTTCTGTCAAAAATCTCACGGATGTTCGGATTAGATATTCGTAAACATTTGATGAGATACATTGTGTCGACAAAATATAATCGATCGTTATTCCTACGGCACACATAGGTATCTATTCTATGCATCTCCAGCACGCAAACAGGCGAAGTCGCGACATCGGTAAAACGTTAATTCACCGAGGAATACATAAGCTAACAAAATGCAAAGTAATGTCGAGCGCTGTTTCCAAGACGTGTATGGCGCGACGAAGTTGAATGCCCCGATGCGATGTCGTCGACGACGGACGGATTAGCGCGACCTGTACTAACGTAATCGTATGCCTGGTGAATATTTCATGAAGCGCGGAAAAAAGAGATGACACCTGTTCGAAAAACCGTTAGCGTACTCCTTTTACCCAGCAATGTGTGGGGAAGGAGAAGAACGACGTTCGACGACTTATTTCGATGCAAATTTCGAAAAGAATGCCCGTCACGCGTATATGCAGGTATTCGGCGCAGTGACTGGTATGCGCACAAATGCACGCATATCGTGCGCGCAATCCACACATCCCGGAAATGAAACCTCTCTGACTTATGTGTCGGCGATATGTGAATTTTTCTGCTGCGCAGCGCGTACTGTTTTGTGAATCGCTATTAATTCTCCCATATTTTGCGTCTGATGATAGACTAATTTGTCTTCGCCCGTAATACGAGAACATATAGCGAGCTGAAATTGTGATGCGTTACATTAAACATCAAAATGATGAAACAGCCTCTCTCTCTCTCTCTCTCTCTCTCTCTCTCTCTCTCTCTCTCTCTCTCTNTCTCTCTCTCTCTCTCTCTCTCTCTCTCTCTCTCTCTCTCTCTCTCTCTCTTTCTCTTTCTCTGTATTATGTGTACGTGCGCATGTGAACAAGCAATCTGTTACACAACATCTGTTTTGGAGTATAATATTACTCTTCTAAGTATACATGAGTGAGTAACGTGCACAAAAACGCTTGACACAATTTCAGACTATGCATAAATATATGCGCGATCAGTAATTCACTGCGTTGAAACATTTTCTTAGCTGACGTGTATTATATATACATATACACACAAACTCGCGTATCTGACAAATACTCTTTAAGTTTAAACACCTTAGTCTTTAAATACAGAACAAATTTACATAATAGCTTATTATCGTATATTATTGGTATTTTTGTTACAAATCAAATCGTACTCGTTGATTTTGTGTAATAATGTGCTGTGTGTGAATGAAAACATGTTTATTTTCTTTTAAATGAAACATGTTCATTTTCTTTATGAGATCCAAATAAAATTGTAATGGTTACATTTATTAAAAATTTATAGGTAAAAACTATTAATTTAAAGATGTTCAATTTTATCAGTAGCCGAGTCAGTTAATCAAATGTGCCCAAACGCTATAAGATCAATTTCCATCTAATTATGAATTTTGACGAGTTTTTAATACGAACTACGCACAAGTAATTAGACAAATCTATTCTTTTTTCTACATTGACAAAGTAAAGTGACCAACATTCAACGATGAGACAATTTGGCTTCAGACGCACAAAGACAACGACGGCAATAGCTAAAGAAACAGCAACTGCGTGGCGATGCGCTTGCTGAACGGGCCGCTAACCAGAATACGCGCGCTAACTTCTCGCTCTGTTCTCTCGGTTTGAGCGGATCGGGTCAACTCCAAGAAAGCGCGTAAAAGATAAGGACCGATAAAAGAGTGATGAGAGAATGAAAAAGAGTGAGAGAAAGATAAAGAAAGGGAAAAAGAAAGAAGTGTAAAGAGGAGAGCCGCTGTGATGATCCGCTGCTGCGGTCTTTATTCTTCTCGCGTGAGCGAGAGAGACAGAGGCTGCGAGAGGAAAAGGAACCAACGAAAGAATATAGAGATGAACGGACGCGAAGAAGAGAGAAAGCGCCGAGAAAAGAGAAAGAAAGGGGCGAAGAAAGAGAGTAAAGTGGACCGAAAGCACGTGGGGATCTCTCTCGCAGGCACACATTGCGTCCAGACCAGCGGCACGAAAATTTAGTGAGCCTCCTTGCCTGTCGACCGACCACATTCCCTCCCCACTCCAATTTCCTCGTGCAAGAATCTTATTCGCTTTGGTTGTTTCGGCGCACACAGTCATTCTATTCCCCACGCGTTTACATCAGCAAAATCATGAGAAGTGCAGGACCGCGGATAATTTACTTCATTGATCATAATTCTTTCTTTTGCATCACGCCGGTCGAAACGTGTTTCGAGCGACAATTGCAACCTGATGCTGACACACTAGACTCTGATTAAGTAATTTCTCTAATCTTGTGTTAATATTCAATCACTGATAATTACATGGTCACTGCAACATGAGAAAAGTAGCGGTGTGTACCGCGCGAAGAACGTCTCAAGGTAGAATGTAGTTCGACGTAATTAGTATTTAATAACGGCGATATACATTGTGAACTAATTACATAGAACTCTAATCGCTATTTCAATGCGATTCTGCTATTATCACAATATTTTAATATTGTATTTCTTGTTCTTGTATTCATTATTTAATTTTAACAAAAATGAAAATAAACTATTCAGAGACTAATAAAATTATATAAATTACAAATATATCTTACTTCATATATATGTATATATAGTTAGTTTAGATTTTAGATTTTATGTACATATATATATATAGGTATATATACTATATATATATCTATACATATAGTAAATCTAAAATCGCTAGATGAAGAAGTAACAGTTCGCGAAAATGAGGGCTTACCTCGCAACTGTGGAGTGTGCGCGTAATCACCACGTGTTAGCTGGAGCTCAGCAGCTCCTCGTGCAACATCCCGGCACAGTTTCGTTATCGTTCTATTATTTCTCTTTTGTCCTATCCCAGAATGATTTTATCACAACGAAGGCTTCTTTTCCCTTTTTTCTTTTTAGTTATATAAGATGCGTCAATATCGTCTATATTCTATCGTTTGTATTCTATCGTCATTCACGATCAAGAGAGTATTCTGCCGACGAGAAATTTTACGCGGAACCACTTTGACATATAAAAAAGTTGCCTGGCGCACTTAACACAATTCACCAGCGCCGTGACCTTCTTGTTTGGTGTTTATATTGGCGCGGTCGTAGTCGCGGTCATCGTGCAATGCAACTTACCGGACACGCGCGTCTTACGGATGTGTGTGCGTATCGTATTCTAGCGTAGTATATACATTACGTGACTCGGTCATTTAATGCCGAAAGAAGAAATATTCTAAAATTCTCAAGATAAATAAAATACACTGGCGGTTTTTTCTCTTCTAGTGTATGTATTTGTTTTTTTCAGCTTATTCTCTGCTTATTTTATTCTTTTCCTCGCGATTGAATGTGAAGCAATTACTTTTAAGTGGCGATATATCGCGATCTGACATACAGCAACATTAAACTTTTCACTGCCGATTCTCTGTTTCTCGCCTTTCGTCACACGCATCGAAATTCTCTCGCGTTTCCACTCGCGACGAAGATGTTCTGCCGACTGATAACCTACCGTCTACTTACCTTCATCGAAGCGCCCCTAACGCACCGAACTCCCTAGCACGACAGGTGCTCCGCAGAAGGAGTGGGAATAAGAGGATGGCTTCGCGGAGGGGACACATAGGGATAGTACGTATTCGCGTTACGACGGAGGCAGCAGGCAGCGACAGCAGAAGCGGCGACGGTGGTGGTAAAGGCAGCGGCCAGGCATCGGAAAGAACGAAAAAGCGATGGGAAGAAATGGATATAAAGAGAGAGAGCGAGAACACTAGACAGCGACGGCCGGTGGCAAGTCAAACAACCGAGCAAACCGAAAGAAAAGAGGGCAACGACATCGCTCTGTATCTTTCGGCGGGCTTCGATATATTTACTGAAAACTATATGCTACCATCATGCCGCTGTCGTTTTATGTCTCAACATTTTTCGAATATCTCTTCAAAATTGATTAATTGCCGACTCATCTCCGAAAATCCGTTGATCAATAACGTGTTCTCTTGCGAATGCGTCATAATGTAATGAGCAACGAGAATCAACACACGTCAGAAATATAACCAGAACTGAACAAGTTTTTATTTTTTTTTAGTTTTCAGCAATTAGATGCCACCAGTTCAATTTCCTATGCGATCTTTTTTACGCTTTACTTTGTAAAAATAAATGTATACAATACATTTTACTTTGCCCCAAAATATATTGCCCCAAATTCTAGAAATTATTTTTTTAGCACACTTTAACTCAAATCAACGTAAATGTGTCCCAATAATCATTTAATCATTCGTCGTAAACCATTTATCAAAGATTCCTCTTGTTCGTTAGAGTGACTTTTCTTGAATTAAATGTTACTTCTGTGTCGTCAGTTGCAGCTTTTTGCAAATATATTCTCAAAGGTATATTCTCAAAGAAAATTAGGTAAAGAGCAGATAGAAATTATTGAATTGAGATCATTGTTGAATGTCGAACGTCAGTTGATTATTTTCAATTATTGGTCTCCTCAGATCGTTTCAAATAACGTGACTGTTCCTCTGCTACAACTTCTCACCCTCGTTATTATCGCTGCGATTTTCCGTTGCAAAAACTTCTTCACTCTTCGTCTCTTTTTTCTATCTGCTCGATTTTTTCTCTCTACATGTCTTCTTCGTTAGGTGTAATAAAAAGAATCGCACACACTGCCGGCATTATATAGCTAACTCTGCTCGGTCAGCTTCGCGAGTAGAGAAAAAAAGAAATAATTTTTGTTTTCATAATTGCGTGAAAAACTCGTGGCAATTTCTTGTCAGTTTGCTCGTTCTAAGAAAGATCGGAGTCGCGGAATCGTCCACTTAAGTGCGTCAATCGTGCTATATATCGTGTTGCGTGAGAGACAGGACAGAACATGACGCGTCGATCGATCTGATTCGTGAGGCCACAAGCGAAACGAGAAGCGACAAGTGAGATAGAGAGCTACGAGAGAGCCGAAGCGTCGTTGTTGTTGCAGTCGTCGCGTTTTGTGCACTTATCTGCCCTAAAAGGCCAGCACTTCTTTCTTCGCTATCTAGTCACCGTTGTCTCCGAGAGTAGGATATTTTATGACGAAATATTCTGAACGTCTCTCATGTTAACGTGTGATCGCGCAAATCTCTGTTCGAGAGATCGGTAATTTTCGCGTTGACTTTCTGCAATTGCACGAAAACAATCAAAATACAACGACGATTAAACATCTGATATAGTCAACAATATAGCAATTATCTGTGCAATTATCTGTGAAGAATTTTCGCTTTTTTCTTCTCATAATCAGAAATTTATTTATTTACTTTGTTATTTAACTGTACAATAATGCGAAGAATAATTATATGTAAGAGAGAACACATTGATATCTTTCATAATATTTGTTGTTCTCATAGTGATCTTATTGGCATCAGCATTGATCCGAATCGTTGATTCTTGAGACGCGCTGGTAGCCGTAGACCACGTTCGGACGCACGTGACGCGCATTTTTGTCACGAAAGGACAGAATCGTGTAGCCAGCCATTGTCTTGTTTGCTTGTATTAGTGGGTACTTTTAATACTATCAGGTGCATATCAATGACCTGCAACTAATCGAAATAGGAATAACATGATAAGCATAGACGACTAATGACGACTAACGCTACGTGTATTGTAGGGGAGACCGGGGCACAAAGTAACATCCAAAATAGATTGTAAAAATAAAAAAATGTACGCAATATTATGTAATATTAAGTACATTATATAATAGTCACATCCTTTAGCTTTAAGAAAAAGCAAATATTATTCTTATATATCTTTACACAAAAGAGTATTTTAATGTTAAGTACAATCGCGCAGATTTGTCAACCTGCCCCATACCCAAGGTTAATTGTCACATGTCTTTTATACAGAGAAACAATAAGATAAAATTTTTGTTTTTTATTTTATTAAATTTATTAAGAGTACATAACATTATACATTAAGTATAAAGTATTTATACAATATTAATAATNATNTATATATAAAAAAACAAGTTTAAATGATTTCACAATACTAAATCAGTTAAAAACTATAAAACATAATTAGTAATCTAATCTTTAATAAAAAAAAACAATGACAGATACTGAAAAAGTTATAACGACGCATAACAATCACTGCGATTACTTTTTCGCGCATGTTCACCGTGTGACAACTTATCCCGTCTCAATTTGAGTCAACTTATCCCAAACGTTCATTTTAAATAAAAGATATTATATTTATAAACTGCGATGCGATGACGATTAAATAAATATAGGAAAACTTATTTAAAACTACTATATTTTCTATACATAAGATAAAATTGCAATTAGAAATTTTAAAACCAATGAAATTACTAAAGAATCGAGATCAGAAAAATCTACTTGCCATATCCAGTTTTACAAAAGTGCTCGTAAATATCATGTATAATGTTTTTAAGAAAAGTTCTTTTGTACACGTTACTAACACAACTAGTAGCAACTTACAATAAAAAGAAGAATAGTTTCCAAGATTTAGTAAGCAAGATAATAGCAGTTTGACAACTAACCCCGTGTCACAACTAGCTCCGGTCTCCCCTACTATTAGAAGATAAAGTTCCATGACAGTCGTATTTTAATTGAATTGTAATTTACTATTAAAAAAGATTTGTGATCTAGAAAAAATAAGTATTTTTGCATAACTATGTATGAATTAAAATATAAACTTAATAATTATAAATTAAATTGTAACATAATACTTTTTAACAAAAAGATAAAGAAAAGACAACATGTAGTGATTAAAGAAGAAAAACACTAACAAAAGTAGATAACAAAAGACTTAACAAGACTTTCATTAAGTTTCAATGTAGATACTTTACTCGATATCTTTGCTCCGTGAGATCGTGTGAGTTTTGAACTTTGAACGAGATTCAGTGGCTTTTCCCAGCCTGCACAGAGACCTTGTGCTAACTTACAGCTACGTGCTCCCCATACGACCGCGCTTTTCGTTTTCAGGTCAAAAGTTCGAAAGTGGTGCATATACCGCAGATACTACCGATTAATGTGAATCTCGTTGCGTACTGAGTTTATAAAGAATCGAGACGGCTTGATGCGCGATCAACAACGGCACTCGCGTTAACATCTGCTCAAGCAAATATTCGAGAAATTCTGCGTTAAAGTTTGCAGATATCGTTTTAGATATATTTATTGAGGCTTCCGCGAGTATTTAAAGACGTTATTGTTGATAATGGTAATTATTGAGTATAGGAGATTAAGGTCTGATGACTTGACCTTGATGTTGTAAAAGACACTTTCCTGAATAGTGTCCAAGAGATTTTAGGCGTTGCTTATTGTCTATTAAAAAGTTATTTTTAAAAAATATAATAACAAAAATGAAAATCATCAAGAGTTGTAATTTTATTCGTATTGTAAAAGGGCGCTTTGTCTCTCCGCAGGAGAAGTGGCTTTGTCCCCTGCACCCTCCTTGAAAAAATCACGTCGAACACACTTTTGACATGAAGCTACATTTAATCAGAAATCATTTCTTATTTTTTTTCTTTATTGCATAGGTGCCGATTAAATGTCGCTTCATGTCAAAAGTATGTACGTGATTTTTTCGAGAGGAGTTACAGGGTAAAGCCACTCCTTTTGCAAGAAGGCAAAACCTCCTCTGCCTACACGCTTACAATATAAACAAAAAGAACATTAAAAAGTAGTCATTATAATATACTTGTTGTTCTGTTCTTTCTACATACAAGTTCTCGTCGAGGCATTTATTTGAAATTATATGCTTGTAATTTGCGTTTCTTTGCACGTATTTGTTTGTAATACAATTTAGAACAATGAAAAAGAAGCGATTGCGATTTTTCTCAACGTACCACTGCTGTGCACCTTGAATACTTCACATTGTACCAAATAACTTTCTTTTCAGGCACATAATTAATTAATTGAGAATAATTATGCGTTAAATGAAGAAATTCATAGAACAACATATTGAAAGCCACTTACCTTCGACAACAATCTTGTACCTATATGAAACTTTGCTCGGAATCAATGAAAATATAAGGCCGATACGAGCCGTTCACAGGATGTTGAGCGGAACTTGTACGTGTATACATATACGATATATGTAAACACCTATGACAAGTTCACTTGTAAATTTTTACAAGTGAGTTTTTTGAATTGAAAATTCAATTCTTAAATTCATACGGGATGCGGGATTTGCATCTCACATATGAAAGACCCCGAATATCCCCTAACTAATATTTAAAATATTGCGAAAAAAACTCCTCGGCCATGAGTCGAACCTGCTCGGAATAATAGATAAACTACTTCACACTTCAAAACATCAACTGAGTAATACCGTCAACAATACTGCTTATAAATATGTATAATTGTATCAGCAACTCAGAATATCTTCTTAGAAATGATAACTGAGAGCAAATGTGTATTTCATTTCATATTCTATTTTAACAAACTCACCAAATTAATAAGAGTTCATAAGGACAGCACTTCTCAAGATTTCAATACAAACA